AATTTTTTGTCTATATTACAAGATATAGAATAATAGTAGTATTTTTAAATTTAAACTTTAATTATATTGTTAAAATTAACATAAAACTATTTTTTTATATTAATCCAATTCTGTTTATATTTTATTATATAAATGTTTACTTATGCTCTTCGTGTGACAATGCTTTAAAATATTAGTGATGTGCAAGAAGTATATAGGATAATAACTCCTCCATATTTTTATATTTTTCGAAAGTAATAGGCCTGGAATCGTGATACAAGGACGCCGGAGCGATTTTTTCAAATTTTGTTTGTCTTCGTGGACGTGTAGGTAAATTTAAAGTCTTCAATTTTTTCTTGTTCACACACATACACACACATACACATCGATCTTTTATATAAAATATTGTATAATGTATTTTGAAGAAATCTCATCCAAAGTATTTCCAATCAGTTTACTTTTTCTCCTTTAGTGTTTGTTATTATCTGTTTTTTAATTACATTTTGTAGATTTTTTGTCGAAACAAAATCCTCTCTTTTCATTTTATGTAAAATGAATTTATTATGTTTTCTACATTGTGTTATAATATCATAATAATCCTGTTGTGTATATAGGAAATAATTTTTTTTTCTTTTTTACTATGGAAATTGGACTTACAATACTTCCATAATCAATGATTACGCAGTTTCTTTTACCGACCAATTTTAAATTGTACAAAATATGTGCATTTTTTAAGAAATTAAATATTAATTAGTTAAACGTAATAAGTTTACATTAAATTAAGCATAAATTAAGTGATATCTCATTTTGTTTTAAAAATGGATTTACAGCATTTTCAAAATAAACGGCCTATGTAATAAATTGTATTTTAAATTGACCAATTAATTTCACTTTCATTTTGGATAATAATTTACTGGCCTAATCGAAAAAATACAATTATTTATTCATTTGGGATTATTTTTTTGTTTTGTTTTTACACGTTTAAATTTACAATGTTCAAAAAAACATTTAAATCCACAGTAAAACTCTACTTATAAGAGTAAAGGTTAAATTATTCAAATCATTTTTAATATTAAGAGAAAAAAAATTATATAATTTTATATGTTTTTTATATAAATTTATTTCTGTCATCGTTTTCCATTGATAATTAATCACACGATTGACTGGTGGGGGTCTTTTCTTCCGCTCATTATCTTTATTATTTTTTTTTAAATTAAATACATGAAAGAGAGGGAAGAATTAACACATATTTTAAAATCAAACAACGCATATAAGAGAAATGTTGTCAAAAGTAGTAGGGAAAAGTAAGGGGAGAAATTTTCATCAACTTTTCCCTATTTTTCAGTTAAATTCAGTGTGTATTATAATACGGTACATGCAAATGTTACAAATTATAAAAGTTTCTTCACAGTTAGGTTAAAAAAGAGATAGAGAGAGAAAGAGAGAAAGTTTGATAAACACGTTTTGATGAAATCGAGCAGACGAAATTGTGTTTAGTAGACAAATAACACATTTTTCATGACCCCCCATAATAGGGTGTTAGATAGAAATGTGTGAGTTAGAAGTTTGACTTTCTCGAAACGTAAGATGAAATTTCCACTTGAGAAAACGTGCACGGATACTTGATATCGAATACTACAAGTGTTACAAGATACCTGTGTTCTTTTATACTTCCTTTGGCCCTTTTCCTTTTTTTTTTTATAACCTAACCTTTGATCTACACAAATTTCTTTTTATAGCTGTATCTTATCGAACATTTTTATAGGGAAAAGAAGAAAACCTTGCGTGGGTGTGTAACAAAATCTTTGATCGAAATTACGTCAATTATTATTATTTTTATTATTATTTATATATATGTATTATTTTTATAATAATAATAATTTATTACTTTTATAATAATTATTATTATATATTATGATAATATTATAAAATTATATTATATAATTTTATTATTATTAATAATAGTAAATAATATAAATATATTAATATAAATGTATAATATATTATTATATTTATAGATTATTATCATATTATTATATTATATATTATATATTTAATTTATTATAATATTATATATTATTATATAATATATATAAATATAATATATAATATAATAATATATATTAATATTGTAATATCTACATTAAATAATATATAATAATAAAATTATAATAATTTAATTACATACAATTATTATATAATAATATTATTATAATTTATTATATTAATAATGATTTATTATTTTCATAATAATAATTATTATTATATTTAATAATTATTTATCTATGTGTGGGGAAGTTGTAGTTCACTTATATTGAATTTTTATTTAATTTTTTTCTTATTTTAAATAAAAACAATGAAACTGCAGAAACGTTAGATACAAATTGATTTATTGCTTTTTCCTAGTAAAGAGAAATTGAAAGTAATGATAATGTATTCACATTCTCGCTCGTTTTCATCGTGATTCGTGTTTCGCGTGTACTAATCTCACCCTTGTGCGTTTTCTCTCGTTTACCCTTTATATGTCTCTCTAGTGAATCGAGTTTAATAGTATTTCCGATATTACGATTATATTCGCTAACACTTTACCTATCACCATTATTCGTTCGTTCGTTCATTCTTCTTCTTCTTTTAATCCATTTGAAACTACTCGCACACCGTGTGTGCAAAAAATTTTCTTTATCAAAAAGACCTTTTTTAAAATTGCATAGTATGTGCAATCATAATAATGAGCTATTGTCAATTATTTTGAGTAAAGTACTCGTCGAGATAATACTTTTTTATTATATGAATATTATCTTTTAAGTATAGAAAAACAAAATTCGACATTGGTTTTCGTGCATCTAAAAAGAAAAACGAAATTTTATTAGAATTATCGAAATCAATATTTTTACAAGATGTCAATGCAATTTTTACTTTACAATTGGTGTACTATTTCTTAAAAATCTATTTACAAATTATATTTTCTTTTTTATTACTGAGTTGCATTACTTTATTAATTTTAGATCATTTTTCTAAAATTGTATTTCTCATTTATATAATTTTCTTTATTATTCAACTAAATTTTTTGATTTTTTTATCATTTTTATTTAAATTTTCTTTTCATTATTATTCTGTTTTTCATTATTGGAGGCAAAACAACAATTTTATGTTGTATAACTATTTTAAAAATAAATTTTTATCAGTTTTAAATGACGTATTTGTAGTTTACCTCGCATTGTACAAATGGTGTTCAATTACGAATTGGGTAATTTTTTTAGTAGACAAGTTTTTTTTTATTAAAAATGAACAGTATAATGAAAAAAAGTAGCTCTTGGGAACCGTGCTCGAAAAAAGTCGTGGTCTTAAATAGGTTTTGAAGAGAAAGATTGATAGAAATTAGGTGTACAAATAAGTTTCCGCTTTTCTTTTTATCAAAAACTAGGAATTTATTATAACAGAAAATGGTACATTACATTTATTTCAAGTATTGTCCATCACAAGCAACTACTTTTTCTTATCTTTCAAGCAGCATTCGGATATTACGTCTGAAGAACTGTTCATCTTTTGAGACTATCCACAAATCAATCCAATTTATATTATCTTCATATGATATAAAGCTCTGCTCAGACAGACCATGTTTCATCGATCGGAATAAATGATTGTCGGAAAGCGCAATGTCTGGTGAATACAGCGAGTGGCGTAACACTTCCCATTCAGGTTTTTTTAAATAGTTTTTGACCGGAACCTCAACATGCGGACGAGCATTATCATGGAGGAGAATAATTTTTTCATGTCTGGACTAGTAATTAGTACGCTTTTCTTTCAGAGCTCGGCTCAATCTCATTAATTGTGTTCAGTAGAGAACTCGAGTAATTGTTTCGCTCGGATTGAGCAACTCGTAATACACGACACCCCTGTTTTCATACGTTGTCGGCCTTCCACTGTGATCTTTGTCTTCTACGCCAAAGTAATCGTCTTTAAACTTTTGAAACCACTCATAACAAGTTCTCTCACTTAAAGCAGTCTTATCATATGCTCCTACAAGCAATTTATACGCCTCAGCTTCAGATTTTTTTCAATTGAAGAAGTAAATTAAAAGTTCCCGCAAATGATGTTTATTTGGCATGTTCGGACAAAAAGAATTATATAATTCTGATAAGAAGTCAATAATACTTCAAGATAATGTTGTTCTTAAATGACTAAACTTACTTTATGCAGTCTTTCATTTGTCAATTTTGACCTAAACCTTAAATAGCACCATCTTTTTTAAAACGACGGATACTTATTTGTACACCTGATATATAACACATGGGCTGAAAAGTCCCAGGTCTCACACATAAATGACGCTAGTTTTATTGCATTCACCTCATTTTCAGTTAGTACTAACCTTCAAAAGACAGCTTTTAAAATTTCATGACATTCTATTCATTAGTTTGCGAGTTATTGTGCTAAGAGATGCTACTTTTGTTATTTTTAAAACAATGGATCAAAAACAATTTCGTGTTTTAATTTTACACTGCTTCTTGATGGGAAAAAATACCGTTCAAGCGAAGCAATGGCTTGAAAAGTGTTATGGGGACTTTGCTCCATCAGAAATAACAATAAAGCGTTGGTCTGCTGACTTCAAACGTGGTCGTAGAGACACCGATGATGCAGAACGCAGTGGATGTTCAAATGAGGCGGTAACACCAGAAAATATCAAAAAAATCCGCAAAATTATTTTGAATGATCGGAAAGTGAAGTTGTGTGAGTTAACTGACATGGTAAAGATATCAAAAGAACGTGTTGGCTTTATATTGCATGAGCATTTGTCCATAAGAAAGCTCTGTTCAGAGTGGGTGTCGCGTTTGCTCACTGTTGACCAAAAACAACAACGTGTTGATGATTCCGAGCAGTGTTTGGCCATGTTTAAACGTAACAAACCAGAATTTTTGCGTCGATATGTGACAATGGATGAAACATGGATCCATTACTTCACTCCGGAATCAAAACGATCGTCATCTGAGTGGACAGCAACTGGTGAACCTCGTCCAAAGCGCCCGAAAGCACAATAATCAGCTGAAAAGGCTATAGACTCGGTATCTTGGGATGTGCGTGGTATAATATTCATCGATTATCTTGAGAAGGGAAATACCATCAGCAGTGAATATTATATAGCGTTTTTAGAGCGTTTGAAGGCCGAAATTGCAAAAAAACGACCGCATATGGCAAGGAAAAAAATTTTGTTTCATCAAGACAACGCACTGTGTGACAAGTCAATCAAAACAATGGCAAAACTATATGAATTGAACTTCAAATTACTCCCGCATCCACCGTATTCTTCAGATTTGGCTCCCAGCGACTATTGGCTGTTGGCAGACTTCAAAAAAATGCTCGCCGGTAAGAAATTTCGCTCGAATGAAGAGGTTATCGCTGAAACTGAGGCCTATTTTGAGGCAAAAGATAAATCGTTCTACAAAAGTGCTATTGAAATGTTAGAGCGGTGCTGGAATGATTGTATTGCTATTGATGGAGATTATATTAATGAATAAAGCCAATTTTGAACGAAAAAACCGTGTTTTCTTTCTTAGGCCCGGGACTTTTCAGCCCATGTGTTATATTTGGTTGTCCCAAAAGTTTTTTCTTGTTTTTTAGTAATTCTATAGGCACAATATTTTTTAGGTCGAATAATTAAAAGTATAGAAAAAGGTAGAATAGAATAGAATCGATGGTATTTACAAGGAGAGTGCAAGGTCTTGCTCTCATGGATTTTGTCAAATTTTGTAGGATGATAGATTTTGCTTCTCTGTTCACGAATATATATGGTTATAGGGGCCATTACTCAATAATTTTTTAAATATTTGCAATTAAAGATACTAAAGATGCTGTTGAGTCCTTAAATTCATTTCTGTAACAAACGATTATATGTACTGACGATACACAAAACGATTATATGTACTGAATTAAAGATGACTTTAGCATCTTTAATTTCAAATATCTAAACAATTATTGAGTAGTGGCCCCTATAACTATATATATATTCTTGAACAGGAAAGACAAATCTATCATCCTACATTGAACAAAATCCTTGAGGGCAAGACCTTGCACTCTCCTTGTTAGTAACATAAGGTAAAATACGAAAACAAAGTATATTATGTATGCAATATTGTTTAACTTATCACCAAAAAAAGGAAGTAATTTTCTGGACGACTTAAAGAGAAAACTGTATTTTGTTTTACGAAATAAAATCGTGTTAAATTATAACGCGTAAATTAGAAAAGTTTAGATCACCTAAGGCACATTAGCAATATTTCATTTTCAAATCAAAGTTTCGTAATTTCTTTTCTAACATTCAAAATGATCGATTGAGATTAAATGTAATTAATACTTTCAAGGCCGTGTATAATTTGATCGAGATAAATATTTCTTTCGTATTTTAATATCCGATGGATAAAAATGAAAAAGAAAACAAAAAAAAAGAAAAAGAAGAATTCACTGCTATTTTTTCTAATGAAGCTTTTTGTTTCTTTTATGAAAAAACAAAAAAGAAAAATAAATAAGTAACATTCACGAACAATTTTTGTAATTCGTCTCTCAATGAGAAAGAAAAGAAAATGGAAAGAACATAAAAATGTAAACACAAAGGAGAATAATAAGAAGTAGAAAAAGAAATTTGTTTCTTTTTTATTTTAGGAAAATATATTTAACGAGTATTTTACAATGGCGAAAGGATATAGTAACGATACGATCCGTTCTATTTCTAGTGTTCACTCACAGTGTCGTTTTTTATGTTCCAATTTAGCACGCTTCTTTTGACAGAATCTGCATTCTGCTCAGCTGAAAATAGCTCACCTACATTTATCGTTTTAATATTTCACACTAACACATTTCTAATGTATTATTAATTTAATATTTTTTTGTATCTCGCAAATAAAATTAATTCAAACATTAATATCTTTTATTCCCTTGATTTATATTCGTTAATTAGGTTAAATAATTGAAAATAAAAAGAAAAAAAATATATTGTTTATATTATCTAATAAATTTGGGTATAATTTTTCTTTTTTTTTTATTTATGTTACTACCGTTATTACCATCTCAATTATTAATAAATATCACAAAGGTTAATGATGGAATTATTTAAATTAATTTTTATAATTTATCTCTAAAGATACTAGAATCTATCTTCCTACTTTTATTATAAAATAAAATAAAATAAAAAATAAAATAAATTAAAATAAAACTAAAATAAAAATAAAAAAAAATAAAAAAAAATAAATAAAATATGTAATAAATAATCGGATTGTTCTTAATCAATTATCTGCCACAATACGAAAATACAAAAAAAAAAATTAAATTAGTTGTATATGATATTCATATTAACCAAATAAAACTATTTTTACGATTGTTTTTTTTTTTATTAAAATATAAAAATTATTTTGAATCATTAATTATTGATTTAAAATAAAATAGTGAGAATGTTTAATATTTACATGAAGCACGAGGTACAATCTCATAATTTTAACAAATATATTTCACTCTGAAATTGCATTCAATAAAAAAAAAAAATTTGAAAATGCGTCCCAAAAAATAGGTCATTGGCAAATAATGAGTTAAATTACAATTGTTTAAATTTAAATATAGAAAATTTCCAAGTTTATGTCTTCAATGCATGATTGGTTTCATTTAATCCCTGATCATTATGTTTTGGAGAAATGTCATCGGTTCGATCGGTCAAACATGTGCATTATTTAACCGAACAGGTACGTCGTTTATTGAAACCATCGGTGTAATTCATCGAAGCGCAAATAATAAACGAGCGAGATACGATGCATATTATTGAAGAGCAATAAAGAAACTTATTTAAACATTTTTATTTTTTTTTTCAATTATATCAATCCTTCTTTTTTTCCATTGATTTTAAGAAAAACATTGTTTTATGCTACACAAAATATTATTTTAGTTTGATGCAATATGGTCCAGTACTTGCATTAATCCATTACCCATCAATGGCTTTTTTTGGGACGCATTTTGAAATTCTGTTTTTTTTTTAATATTAGCAATTTCAGAATAAAATATACTCGTTAAAATCATGAGATTGTACATCGTACTTCATGAAGCTATTATAAACTCTATTTTATTTTAAATCAATAATAATTGATATAAAATAATTTTTATATTTAAATAAAAGAAAATAAAAAAAATTGTTGCAAAAATAGTTCTATTTGGTTAGTATGAATATCATTGTACAGTTAATTTAATTTTTTTTTGTGTATTTTCGTACTGTGGCGGGTAATGGGTTAACACGTTTTTACTTATTTAATTTTTTTTAATTTTTAATATTTGTTTTATTATATTATCATTGATTTTTAATGAATTGCTTTATTATTATTATTATTATTAAAAAAATGATGATTAAATGAATCGTTAAATAATTTTATATTTTTCTTTTTTTTCTCTCTTACTATTAGATCGATTTTATGGTAGGAATTCTGTTTGAAAAGAAAGAATGGTCAATTGTTTGATGTGATAATTATTGTAAAAAAAAAAAAAAAAAGAAAAAGGATGAGAAAAGTACAAAGATTTGACACCGTTTTCATTATTATCTTTTTTATTTTTCTTCTTATTTTTTTCCTCTTTTACACCTGTCGACGGATCGCCCGTAATACGGACTGTATTGATCGACCTGGCAGAAGCAGCAGCACCGGTGGTAATAGAGGGATAACACCATGATATCAGCAAGAATAAAGAGAGAGAGAACACCATCTACATTCTTGTATTTTATCCTTTTTGATAAAACTTAAATGATCTTAAAATTAAGATAATCAAAAGCCATCGAAAATGTCTGCTCAAAGTAAAACTCGTAATCATTCATTTCTTTTTTTTTATATACAAAACAGGTAAAATACGTTTATTTGTTCAAGTATGTAGAAAATTGTGTATAATATATTTATTATAAAATAATATTTTGTTTTGTATATATTAATTTAGATTAAACTTAAATGATCTTAAAACTAAAATTTTCGAAAGTCGTCAAAAATGTCTGCTCAAAGTAAAATGCGTAATTATTCATTTCTTTTCTTTTTTTGATATACAAAACAGGTACAATATTATTGTTCGTTTGTTCAAATATGTATAAAATTGTGTATGATATTTATTATAAAATAATATTTATTTTTATATATCGATTTAGACGAAACAAAAGATTTGTAGACACACGATATCCACATTTTACACAAATACGGTCATATTTTGGGTGCCAGTTTTTCATTTTTCGTTTAAAACATGACAATGGTTCCGCGGGAAATTTTAAAGTAACAACACACCACCGTGTGAATGAATAGAAATAGGGAAATCGAATTTCGAACGAATAAACGAAAAATTTGCATTCTACCATTCGTGTACCAATCGAATAAATATTTTTCTACTTTCGAAGAAACGTGAAATTTACGATGTGAAAATATTGATGAAATATATTTTAAACGTGCGATACAAATCTTTTGATGATATTAAAAAAAGGAGATTTATTTGTCAATCTAGATCGAAAGATAGTATAATCACAATTTAAATAAAATATCTAATTATCAGATATCATAGATAAAACAAAAATAACACATTGAATTTTATCGTATAATTGAATAAACAGGATGTGGGAAAGAGAGTTTTTGATTTATTTATGCTGTTTTTAAAGGATTTTTGCGGTTTTTTCTGTATCCGTATACGCGTGATTTTTTTTCTCTCTTTTTTTTTTTTTTAATAAAAGAAACGAAACTGATAGAAAAAGAGAGATAGAGAGAGAGAAAGAACGTATTAATTATATGAATTATTAAAGGTTTAATATTTCACGTATTTTAATAAATCATAAATATTTGCATCAAATATAGGAATTTTTAAATATTATAATAAATATATAATATTTAATTATAATAATTATTTATAAATTATTTAATATATTAATTAATAATTTAACATATAATTATAAATATATAATTATTAATTAATATTTGCATCAAACATAGGAATACGTTTAAATATTATAATATATATAAATATGTAATATTTAATTATATATAAT